ATGGGCCATCTAATGTTGAAATTTTATCTTCTTGGGAGCTTTGAAGTATTAAAAATATGATATACATTATTCTGCTTTCACAATTGAATACATGGTAGATGATACTCAGCTTTTGTGCATATACATGTTTGTGTGGACATGATGACTAGAAGCGGTGATATGTGTATTTTATGTTGTAGTTTTGTTATATTTTGGAATACAGTTGAATTTCTTTAAGAAATTGTAGGGTATTATATGGATTAAGGTCATGAAAGAGTTCTTTCATGTTGGTTGTTTGATTGTGTTTGGCGGCATATCAACACCTCTATGGGTTATCGAATACCGAAATCCAACTATTATGACAACAAATAAATATATTTTGAGCGCAATTGTATGCCTTTAACTACAGATAAAATATATTGTTGGTCATTCATTGCTGATTATTTTTTTTAAAACATGAAATGCCTAATGTACTTTTGTGCATTCGAACTTTGAATGAGATCTTTTTATTCTTTCATATGCGTTATGTCCATTCAGGACGTGGGCAATTAAGGCTCTCCACAACTTCCTGTCTTTAGTTGCTCTAAGTAAGATTTGACTCTGTACCGCCCATCTCTGTACTAGATTAAATATGACACCAATATGCACGGATGAATGGTAAACTTATAAATCTGTAAAATAAATTCTGGCTAGAAAAGTCACAATGAGCCAACTTTTCTGGCAGCAAATGTAATCGATGTGTTAAGTATTTGCTTTGCCATCTCGCATCCGCATTGCTGAGGGCGAGAACCATAGACAATTGTTACGGTTTTTGAATTCATAGTTGAACTTCGGAGAAAAACAAATAACGAATAACTTACCATTTCTTGGAAGCTGGATACCGTGCTGCAGTTCATCTGCTCTCATCAAGGAAATGAAGGACTTATCCTCAAGGTGACTAAGAAGTCCCAATTACCTAGGGTTGAAAATCAGATCGCTCTTTCACCTAGACAGACTGCTAACCAAGGCTAACCAGCACTGACTACCTGGAGTGTTAAGTATTACTTACATTTTTATATTTCATATACTCAATTGAAAATTTATCAACCTAATGAAGAAGGGATTTCAAAATCTTGATGTTTGGTCTTTTCGCTACATTTTGGAAGTAGGTTAAGCAAAGAACTTTTTCTCTCTCTATATATATATATATATATATATATATATATATATATATATATATATATATATATATATACATGCGCATTGGCGTGCGCATGAGCGCATCCTCACACACACAAACGCGCGTGAGCGCGCGCGCACACACACACACACACTATGAAAGAAAAACTCCACCTCGCACCAATGAAAAGTGCATGTATAAAAAAAAAAAAACGAGAAATATAATTAGTCAATTGCTGATATCCTCTGACGACTGAACGGAGTGATTATTGAAGTGTCCAACTACGAATTTCTGTAGTCTGGATTCTGAAGGTAACATCGATCAGCTGAGTGATAAAAATAAATTTGTATTAATTATATATATATATATTATATATATATATATATATATATATATATATACGTAACACCTAATCAAGGAACAAATAAATAAAACAATTTCCATGCCTAGAGAAGACACCCTAATGTATAAAATTAAAAATAAATCCAGACGCATCCCTCTAGTAACCACTTTCAACATCGCTCTTCTTCCACTATTCCAGATAATCAAAAGTCGCTGGGAAATACCGCATCACAAACCAGACCTAAAAATTTTGTTTGAGGAACCCAGTTTTCTAGCATATCGTAGACCTAAGAACCTTAAGGAAATTATAGGTAGTAACCACATTTCAGACGAAAAGTTAATCCATAATAGGCCAAAAATAAAAACAACAGGATTTTCGCAACCATGTAGCAACAAATGGAGCTTATACTGTAACCACATTAGACACACCAATTAGTTCACTAGCTCAGTCACTAAATCTACTTTCAAAATTTGCCACGACACTAATTGTAGAAGTCATAACATAATTTAGCTCTTAGAATGCACACTATGCCAGAAACAATGTGTGGAAAAATCTGAATGGCCCTTTCACTACAGAAGTAATAATTATTGTAATCGAATTAAGTTGACACCACACGAAAGATTGTTACCTGTAGAACATTTCCGCCAAGAAAAACATGATTTTAAAAGCCATGCCAAATTCACTATAATTGAAAAAATAGAAAAAGACAGAAAAGATGAAAAAATGCTAGAAGACCATGAACCTCAAAACACTCCGTCCAGACGGGCTTAATCACAAATTTACGAACATAGATAGAATTAATATATAAGCCAATAAATCAAGCATTATTCACATTCTTACCCACACAGGACAGACATGTTTGCGTAGGTGTTGAGGTCTCACACATATACATACACACATACTAATATATACAATTACACACAAGAAATACACACTCACGAAGAACTAAATGGTAACATGCATAAATGACATAAACGATACACAAACACATCCCCTTCCCAGGAACCAATAAAACTGTCAAAATGACCAAGGGAATTCAGAGTTGCATGAATCTATCCAGCCTCTATCTTAAAAACAATTTAAAAGAAGCCAACACAAGGACTGACCAAAATTAATGATAAAAAACAAATGAAAACTACAGATAAAGTTTATTTTCTTTAGAAAGTCATTCATTCCTGTAGTTTACTGCTACTAACACGCCATCATGCTGGCCGAAACTAGTCGAGGAATCAAATTGAAATAATAAAACAAAAAATTTTAATATACAACACAGTGTGTCTGAAAATTTTAATTTTTCAATATTTTTTATTGTTCAAAACACACACACACACAGACACACACACAGACACACACACACACACACACACACACACACACACACACATATATATATATATATATATATATATATATATATATATATAATATGAATGAAAAGACAAGGAGAAAACTATACTGATCTTTTAGCCGACGCGTTTCGTCGTCTGACAGATTTTATCAATGTAAATGATAGTATATATTTGACAGTTACATAAATTTTCTAAATTTAAGAACGCTCAGAAATATTCATCAGGCTAACTGAAATGTTTAGATGTTAGAACCTAGATTACGTCATACAGCACCTCCGAAAGGATGTTTTTAAATTTAAAGACGCTCATAAATATTCAACAGGTTAACTGACATGTCTAGGTATTTAGAATTTAGATTTCTCCACATGGCATACTCTAAAGGGAATTTTCAAATTTACAGACGCTCATAAATATTCATCAAGTTAACTGAAATGTGTAGACATTTAGACCATTCATTTTGCCTCTTATACAGATATACTCCATCTGAGAATATATATATATATATATGTGTGTGTGTGTGTGTGTGTGTGTGTGTGTGTGTGTGTGTGTGAAAAGTGAGTGTATAAAAATATAAATAAATAAATATATATATATATATATATATATATATATTTATATATTATATATATATTATATTATTCTAAAGCGCTCAATATCAGAGATAGAGCTAACATATTTGGTTGGATTGAAGTGAGTTTGTGACCCTGGGTTTCACGCTTTTGCGATCGTCAGACAAACTGATTAATTTTTTAATAATCGCAATCCACATAAACCCAAAATTTAAAAAAAAAAATTAATCAGTTTGTTGACGATCGCAAAAGCGTGAAACCCAGGGTCAAAACTCACATCAATCCAATATATATATATATATATATATATATATATATATATATATATATATATATATATTATGTCACTTGACTACTTTCATTTATTTTGATGCTTGATAAAAAAATGACACGGAAATCTGAAGGGAAGATTCTTGATCAAATTCAGGAATTAAATTCGACTATCAACGTTGATTTCTGTAAACATCTGAAAAGAATTTCTTTTTGATACCAGCTCTTAACTGGAATTGGGTTCTTTTTGAAAGATCGTAAATCATCTATAAAGGCAAACGTTTTCAAATATTATATGGCGTTGATCTGACAATTATTACTTCCTCTATATTTGATAAAGCTTCACTAGAGCATCGTTTACATATATATATATATAAATATATATATATATATATATATATGTATGCGCTAAAAATATGGCACGAGATTTTTTGAAATGAAGAAAAAGATCTGAAAGAAGAAAAAGAAGAAAAAATAGTGTATTCTGAGAACGCAGACATTCATGAAAGAATACTGTAAGGTAATGGCGAAGAAGCTTAAGAATAAGAATATGAATAAGAAGAAATAGGGAATGAAATGAAAAGGAAAAAAGAAAATAAGAAAAAAAACAAGAAAAGGGGAAGATGAAGATAAAATGGAAAGAAATAAAGAGGAATAAAAAGAAAGAAAGAAGTTGAAAAGAGAAAGAAGTAAAAAGATATAGAAGAGGATAAAAGAAAAAGAAGAAAGTTGTGAAGAAAGAGAAGGCAAAAGATATGTAAAGAAAAGTTTAAAAGAGGAGGAAGATGAACAAAGAAGAAGGAAGAGTATAAGGTGATGAAGAAGAAAAGGGGAAAAATCTAGAAAAGTGAAATCTGAAAAGAAGAAGAAGAAGAAGAATGGACGACGGATAGAATATAAATAAAAGTTACAAGAAGGAGAATGGAAGTAAAAGAAGAAGAGAAAGAATGAAAGAAAGTAAAGAAAAATAAAAGGAGAATTGAAGAAGAAGAGGAGTAGGAAGAGGAGGAAGATGAGGTGGAGGAGGAGGAGGAGGAGAAGAAGAAGAAGAAGAGAAAAACGAAAACAAGAAGAAATATAAGGAGACGACAAGAAGAAGACAACAAAAATTAGACGGTAAAGTAAAAGTGTAGATGAAATGAAGTGGGTAAAAAAAAAGGAAAGCGCAGTAGCAGTAGTAATAGTAGTAGCAGTAATAGCAGTAGTAGAGTATAAGAACAACAAGAATAGAAATATAAGGAGTTGAAGAAGTAAATTGTAACAGGTGCGTCATTAAATATGAAAAGCAACCGACACAAAAAGTCTTCGGTATAATTTGATACGCTCTTTACAAGAGAGTGGGCGAGTGGGAAAGAAAGAGTGAGAGAGAGAGAGAGAGAGAAAGAGAGAGTGAAAGAAAGAGAGAGTATACATTGAAAACTCCTGCACATTTCTCGGCCTATGTACAAAGACATATCATTATTTGGCGAGCGATTTGTAGGCAGGCCAAAAGGATGGATGAGGCTGTTCGGTGAAGGGCTATAAATGGTTTCTGAACAGCTTGGTTGGTACGATAAACAGCTTTTTAGAAACAGACATATGAATCCAGTTGAAGTACACGGAGGCTTCCGCGGATTTACGAGATGAAAGATTCTGAGATGAAGTATTTTCATTAGTTTTTTTTTTTTTTCAGACTGTCGTCTCCATCTTTGCTGTTTTTATCAACTTAGCATTTGGTTGATAGATTCTGTAGCCTTTTTGCATTGTTTAAAAGACGAAATTGGTCTTTCTGTTTTATAGAACATCAGAGAATTTATGACAGTGAATGCTGGGCAATGTCCTCACAGATGAAGAAGATACTTGAAGCAACAGAAATGTAGTTCTACAGAAGGATGCTGAGAATACCATGGACAGAACATGTGAGCAACGACGAAGTTCTGGAGACAATGGTAATAAAAAGGACACTTATACTTAACATAAGAAAGAGACAACTGAAATTTATAGGGCACATAATGAGGAAAGAGGACTTGGAAAATTTGATACACACAAGACAGATTGAAAGTTAGAGAGACAGAGGAAAGCAATGCACAACCTACCTGGCGAGCTTGATTGAATGGATGGCGGAGCAAAGTATGGGGGAGATGGCAAAAAGGGAAAAGTTATAAAGAGCTATATTTATTATGAAAAAAGAAATATAACAGTATAGCAATAAGATTTTAAAAATATGATTATCGACACGCATTTTTATAGCCTGAAAATAGTATAATACTTTTATTAAAAAAGTAAACAAAACAACAATTTTCATTAACAAATAATTCGCCTACAAAAACGCCTGATAATTATGCACCAACCCAATCGCTTTATTTTCGTATCTGAAATGTAAACAATATAAGCGGGGGTGGGGGAGCAGATCGGAACTGAAGGGTGCAACGTCTTTATTAAAACTTTCAAATGCCCAGGCCGGTAGACGTCAATTACACTGTTCTTCACTTTGTTTTTTTGTTTTTTTGTTTTTTTAAAGAAAAACGTGTACTTAAAATCGTGCATTCAATCACTATAACGTTTATAGTAAGAAATTATTACAGACAAAAATGACTAGCTGTATTATATAGTAATATTAACACTTCTTCGTCCGCGAACTTCAAGCAATGTTAAGAAACGTGATCAAAATAACAAAGATGATGATCACTAGTCCATGAAACTGCAGTAGGCATCCCTTTATCTCGCGAGATAAAGGTAGCGCCTTGTTTGGTCGAAATTCAGTCCCTTGGCGGTGAGACTGGAGTGACCTCTCAAGGGGCGCAAACCTGGGCGATGGTATATGGAGGTGGTGCGATGTCAAGACTACATGACTCCACCGCCCTCTCGGCCGTACCGACAAGATCCAAAGGAATACATTTGGAGACGGCTTGGCTGAAGAGTTGCCAGAAGAATTGTCAGTGTTGACAGGCAACTACTTCAAGGCTCTACTCCGGATTTTCTGTCTGGATTTACTTCCATAAGGCAGGCAGAGGTTTAAAGTCAGCGCTTTCCTTCATCTAGATCAGGGTTGTCAAACATACGGCAGCGGGTCAGATCCATTTCCGTGTTTGGATATAATCGCAAGGCAGGCGGAGGTTTAAAATCAGCGCTTTCCTTCATCTAGATCAGGGTTGTCAAACATACGGTAGCGGGTCAGATCCATTTCCGTGTTTGGATATAATCGCAAGGCAGGCGGAGGTTTAAAGTCAGCGCTTTCTTTCCTCTAGATTAAGGTTGTCAAACATACGACCCGCGGGCCTGAACTGACCGCTGCAGGGTTTCATCCGGCCGACGAGATGACTTTGAAAAATGTAAAAATAATAATACATAGTTACTTACTTTTTGTAAAAAATTAGTTCAATGACGAACAACCCATTTTCTTTTTTCATGTCAACATTTCGCCCTTACCCAAACTGTCTTTGTCAAAAAGGAGAAAAGTGAATACAGAGTGTAGATCATTTCAAGAAAAGTGTCCCTTTTCTTATTTATTCGAGGAGGTGAATGGTAAACCTGTGTGATTGGTGTGTTCACAGCAGGTTTCAGTGCTCAAAAAGTATATCATTCGGCGCCACTATGAGGCTCATCATGCCGACATATACAATCGCCTGCAAGGATTAATGAGAAGAGAGAAGGTAAATAAATTGTTAGCAGATCTGAAAAAACAACAGTCTGCTTTTAACCCAAAGCCGAGATATCAGTCAGGCAGCAGTAAAAGCTAGCTACTTTGTTGCAAAGTCGTACAGTGAGCGTAAATTCGTGAAAACATGCACACTGAAGGCTGCAGAAACTGTATACCCTGAGTAGCGACAGACTTTTGCCAACATTAGCCTGGAGAGAAACACTGTGGCAGATAGGATTCCAAATCTTTCTGCAGATTTGGACAGGCAACTGAAACACAATGTCAAGTCGTTTATTGCATTTTCAGTTGCAATTGATGAGAGCACGGACATTACGGATGTTGCGCAACTGGCCATATTCATTTGTAGTGTAGACGAGACTTTGACCGTCACTGAGGAGTTCCTGGATTTGGTTTCTATTATGGACACCACAATAGCAAATGACATTTTCATCTCTCTCATTGGATCGCTTGACAGGGTCGGATTGGACTGGGCCCGTTCTGTCAGCGTGGCTACAGATTGCGCTCCATCAATGATTGGCAAAAAAGCAGGTGTTGTGACGCAGTTCAGAGTGAAAGTACAAACTGCAAATGGAGGTAGTGATTTTGGGATATTTCACTGCATTTTCCACCAGGAGGCATTGTGTTGCAAGTCGTTAAAAATGGATCACATCATGGAAATGGCTGTTCGAACTGTTAATTTCATCTGAACTAGAGGGTCTGAATCAGCGTAATTTTGACAATCTCCTCGGCGATCTAGGCGTTACCTACGGCTTGCCATATCACACCAATGTCTGGTGGTTAAGCCAAGATGCCGTGTTGAAACATTTCTTTAATCTACGAGAAGGAATTGAACAGAAAAAGGCCAATTCAGTGTTAGAATTTCAATCACAGGAATGACTGCAAGATTTATCATTTACCGTGGATATTACACAGCAGTTGAATAATCTCAACAAAATACTGCAAAGCCGTACAAAAGTTGTCATACAGTATTTTAAAAGCATACGCGCGTTCGAGTTGAAGCTATCTTTGTGGGAGACACAACTGTTAGGTGGTGGCCATGCTCATTTTCCTTTGTCTAAAAGATATGGTTGCGACCGCATATAATGTTGACTTGAATCGATACAAAAACAATATCACGAGATTGCTACGAGAGTTTGACCAACGGTTTCAACTTTTGATAAACTTGAAACAGATTTCACAGTTCTTCATTCGCCATTTACAGTCAAAGCCTCTCATCTGCATCTTGAAATGATTGATTTGCAGTGTAATTCAGATTTGAAGAACAAATTTAACCCAGTGGGCTTGTACACATTTTATCAGTATCTCTTGCCAAATTACTCCAAATTGACAGCCTTTGCTGCGAAAGTTTTGTGTATGTTCAGAACTACCTACCTTTGTGAACAAGTTTTCTCTGTAATAAGCATCGATAAAACAAAGCTACGCTCAAGGCTCACATATAAGAGCCTAAATGACTTCCTGAAATTGGCTGCTACTCAGGATTTGACGCCTGATATTGATGCACTTGTAAAGGAAAAAAGATGCCAAGTTTCCAGAACATATTGAAAATAAATTATAAAAAAATAATAAAAGTGTTTTTAAAGGTTTTTCTTTTTAATTAATAAATTATATACATTTAAAAAGCAGTGTGATAGCTCAGCCTTCTTTAACAGTTTCCACTTTCACTTGTTCAATATTTTGAAAAAACAAAAAAAGAGAATGCAACAAAAACTGTTCCTGTCAGAAATACGGACATCCGGTCAAAAGACGTTAAATTCAATCTCTTCACCACGAACTTTGGCACGGACAACACGTGTGTAACTTCTCTCTGTGATATGACTTGTAATACTACGGAGTAAATTCTCCCTTTTATCACATGTACTATGAAGCAATTGTAACCTAAATAGACAAAAATTTAAATAAATTGTATGAAATTAACAAACAATTTACCATGTTTTCCTGTTATTTGTGTATGTGTTATTTATTTGTCAAGTATGCTTTTATCTCCGTGAACACAAGGCTAATTTCTGCTGCTATGCGAAGGAATACTGCCTTTTTGAGAGTTCTAAAAGCTAAACTATCAATTGATAAAAATGAAACTAGGGGAGTATTTAACATGATTTATCACAGAATGTCAAGCAATTCTTTCGCTAGAAAAAGAAATGTCGAGCAGTAAAGACACCTGGTTTGAGAAATTTAAAAATGAAAGTAATATTAATCGATAATTATATATCCCGTTTCAATTACATTAATTAATTATCATGAAGTGATGGAATTGCTTGCGTGTTTCTGTGGACCATAGAGCTATGCTGGCTAGAGTTTATCTCATGATAGACTCAACCTCGTCAAAGAGGTCAATGGGTAGGAGCCAGACAAAACCTTACAGCTTCTAGAGAAGCAAACCAGAACAACAAAAAACAAAATCTCGAGCGAGCAGCAACTCTTCAGTTGCATAGACAGCCAAGCATCGATAGCCCGATACATTGGCTTGATAAGCAGCAATCGATGGCAGATGATAAGCAACACAATCAACTATAACGGTTTGGATCAACCGGTACCTTTTAAACCGTGTACTGCAGTTGTTAGTAGGAGTTACGACCTCTCGTACTGAATCGTATTTATAACGTAATAAATCCAATTCTTCATACATATTGCTCGTCACGTGAGAAGGAACTATTGAAGGGATTGTTTCGTTTTTTCAGTGCGTCTATGTCGCTAGCACATGTGACACAAGGCCGAGGTTTAAAGTCGGTTTAAAGGCAATAGGGTAAAAAAAATTGTCCAAGCTGTCTCGGCA